AATCCAGGGGTAGCTCCCCCATCGCCTACTGGACCCCCTCCGTCTATTACGGCGCAGCAAAGAGCCAGATTACATGCCCTTCTACGTCAACGGGATGCTCGGGGGCAGGCCCCGTATGGCTTACAGCAGTACTCAACAGACGAGCAAATGTGGGCAGCTTACCGCAAAGCGACGAAAGAACAATATCGAGAACATCGGCGACGTGAACGTGCATCCGGTTCCAGGTCGAAGGACAAGCACAGAGCCCCGCCTGCTACAAGCCGGGGAAATGCCCCAGTGAGAAATCGTACGCGCTCGCCGTTGCCGAGGAGAAGGAGCACACCTTCTGAACACAGGGGCTCACCCCTACTCCGACGTCGTCAACCTCAGCATGAACACAGAGCCCACGAAGAGACCTGAGTAGTGAGCACAACCGTGAGAGCGGCACTTTTTCTGGGACTGACCCAATAGGTCGGGCACAAAAGCATGCATGAGTGAACAAATCGAATCCTTTCGATGTTTTCGTGCCTCTCCGTTCTTTTCCAACTGAGTGTGGGGAATTCCCCAGGAGGATCTTGTCTTCCATGTACAATATGACGGGCCGCAGGAGCCAGCTATATCCCTCAACTTGCCGTACCTCCGCTCGAGGTAATTCATAGCCTGGTGCCCTTCTTTCAGTCAGCAGGGGATGCTCCCTTCAGTCAGCAGGGGATGCTCCCTCAAGGCTTCTTCAGCTTCGGTGATGTCCACGTTATGTTTGGTTTTAGTCGCGCTTGCTTGATTTCGAGGGACTTCGCCTTACACCGCAACGTGCCTTGTCTGAAGGCAATACATGTACTTGTGCAGTGGTGCTTCTACTTCCTTTCCTTTCGTATGCACGAAAGCAGGTTGCCTTCATCTTGCTTTGCATTTACTCTCACCGCTGGCCCCGTAACATACGGGGGCGCTTGATGCGCGCGGGCGAGGGGCAACCCTCGTCTGCAGCCCTGGCGAAAGAAAGAGTGAGGGAGATATGCCATACCTCGAAACGCCCCGCAAGCAAGCAAGCAAGCAAGGAGATATGCGAGAAGCGTCAGACAACCACACAAGTCCTTATCACTAACATTGGCATATATTGGCTTGCTGCATCCAAAATTCAATGGTTTCTGCAGGTTGCCGGGGCTTGACAAGGCAGGCTTCTCTCGTCTCGTTGGGCGGTGCGATATCATGTGCCGAGCTGCAAGCCAGGCTCCTTCTCGAGGGAAACCCTTTGAAGCCCTCGGTGGTTTCGTCCCTGATCGAGGCGGTGCCCAGGCGGAGCTCCACGCTTGACACATCCGCGTTGAGTGAGTCGCTTGCGTGAGCTCCCGCCGTCTTCAGGTCCAACCTGAAGACTCTTGGCCTGGACACTCAACAGGTGCGAGTGCATGGCGATCGTGCGCGGCAATGTACAATGCAGCTCCTTGGAGGTGCGGGAGGCGGCCGCGGCTTCGCCTTCGGCACTTGGCCCAGAGCCGCACCGCCTGAGCGCTCCCGATGCTCCCGCACTGCGTTGCTCACCTGCCCAGGGCTTCGAAGAGCTGCCTGCAGCTGTTTCCGTTGGAACGGCGGTGTCCTGAGACCTGGCGACTGCCTGGAGGCTCCCGCCGGGATTCTCCCGCGTGGCTGCAGGTATTGCCAGTGCAGGGCTCCAGCCAGATCAGCTTCAAGCTGACAAGGGCATCGCAGCTTCGACGGCTCCTTGACAGAGATAGATAGAACCCACGCCCAAGCATATCGTTGAGTCGTTGAGGCAGCCAGGGGTCAAATCAGTGGCACAGCCTGGCGGGCCTGCTGACCCTGTCGCTCCGGCGCAAGTTCTCTTAGGAAGATCCGCCATGCACTGCTTTCTACGGCCAGCTACCATGTCTTAGGAAGGCAAGCTCGCAGCAGACTCATAGCACACCGCAACTTAGGGAGATCTAGAACGCTCAGTAGGGAAGCCATGCTCGAGCATCTATCTGAGCTGCCATGCCTTCGTACCAAGCTCGTATGGTCACCGCAGAGCTGGATCACCCTCACTCTCACCGTCACCCTGATCTCCACCCATCATCTGACCCTCAATCTCACTTTCTCTCTCAACAGTGTCAGGGCCACGATGACCAAGACCCATTGGTGGGCACGGTTTTTTCGTGATCCCGTTGTACTAGCATCGGCATACAGCGGTTTAGAGCTGTGCCTTGTCCTTGTAGAAGGTCAGACTTTTCATGCTTGAGCAGGTCGGATTTTTCTTTGTAAAAAGTCAGACCTTTGATCCTAGCAGTACGCCATACATTCACATTGCAGCCTTTTTTCGTTTTCCAGGCGAAGTCTCGATATAGAGAGGAGCGATGCTGAGACATCTGCCATCGCGGGATCGCGGGTTCAGCTGGAGGATCTTTTCAGTCGGTGAGCGGTTTCTTTCCGCTGCCAAACAAAGAACTACAACTCACCCCTGCGGATCCCTTTGTTGTGTCAGCTAGTATTATGAAGCTGCTCAGCGTGGTATCCTCGTGCCAGGTGGCTCAGCCAGCGAAGCTGCTGATCGTGGCTTTTGCAGCGTCGCAGGCGCCACCAGCAGCAGATTCCAAAGAACTTGAGAGAGACAACAGTACTCGACAGGGCGAGCCCGAATGGTTGGGATTCCTCCGGCGCCTGCTCGAGAAAGGGAAGGCATGTATGGATTGCGCGCCAGCCCTTGCCGATGTGATGATGTGTTGCTGGCAGGTCACCCCGCTGCCACAAGCTTCCGCAGATCTCTCTGATCTACTGGAGGCCAAAAAGAGTCGCCCTTTGTGAAAACAAGGCATTTGCGAGTGCAACAGGCAGATGGCGCCGGTGACTTTGATCGGAAAATGTCGATGTAACTCGGCGCAGAAGCGATTTTGCATGATGCATGCCATGCTGTGGGAAATTGATGGTCAGGTTCTGGACTGGGAGCCCTTGCATTGCATCGGAAGATGAGCAACAGGAGAGTGTGGGGGCGGGCACGAGCTGCATGAGCTATGTGTCTACAGAGCTCCGGCCATTGCCGAGGAGGGTGAGGTTCAGGCTCTGCCACTTCCGGACTTCGATGTGTGACCAGCTTGAAAAGTAAAAGCAAAAACCAAAATAACAACTTACCGGGAAGAACTGTGCCACTAAGGCTGACGGCGGTAGATCATCGCATGCGCTGGTATGCGGAAGATCGTTGGATCCTTGTCCGTGCGAGTCTGTTGCAGTGCAGCCGTTGGCTTGTAAAGGTCCCGCCGTGGAAACCGTCTTGCGGGAATTGCGGCCTCGCTACTCGAAAATGCTTTGCGTGGGGCCACTTATAGAACTCCTTGAAGCTTTCACCTTATCAACAGCCGATTCTCGAAATGCCTCGAGGTCGGTGCCTCTATGGGTGGTTTTGCTGCCCAGAGCTTATCTCCCAAGTAGTCTCAGTAGCAAATCATCTTGCTCCTTTGCGTGCAGGCAGTGCTTCATGGCGGGCTCATCGCGGATGGTGTGTTGGCACTGAACCCACAGGCTCGCTGCCTCCGTCCCCCGTCTTCGCGGAGTTATCTGCTGCGCTCCATCCGAGGCAAACCTACCAGAGGCCTTGCTCAGGCGGAGATTAAGCATGCTTTTGCTGCCGGTGGGAGGTTTGCAGACAGGTTTGCTGGGTGGGTGCCTGCATCCAGTCTTGGTCCCCGACCAAACGACCTTCAGACCCCTCGCATGCTTGTACGCTTGGGTAGGGAGCTCCGGCCCTTCCATTCCCACGTCAACAGCCAAGAAGGAAGGAGTGGTTGAAAACTAGGACAGCCTGGCGTGGATGCGAAGGGGAAGATTGCAAAGACTAGAGAAGCGTGCTTGTAGTTGCCAGGCCCCCGGCAGAGACACCGCGAGATCTGCAGGTGGTCTGGGTTTCTTGTGCTATTTCTGAATGTACTGCAAGACGACCATGTCCCGCTGTGGACAGGATCTCTCTGAATCGCTCCTGGATTCGGCAAAAGCAGCCGCAGCTCGTGGAGCACAAGTTACAGTGCTCTGCCGCTCAGTTACTTGTGACTTGTGCTTGTGGCACTTGTGGCCTCTTTCTTCCAAAGCAGTAATCAGCCTTCGGCCGATTCCAGGCACAGCGCAGCAGACGAGCATTTGCTCCATGCTCCAAGCTCAAGTTTTTCAATGCGAGATAAGACCAGCCATGTTCGCGAATTCCTTGAGCTTGCTTGCATGCCTGCTTTTCCCCAGCCATTTTGAGCCATCTGGGCGAGTCACATGAAAAAGCTGGCAGACACAATCCTGGGAACCAAGCGGCGTCTCGCCAGCAAGCAGCCTTTGGCCCTGCACTGACCTGGGTGGTAGGGAGTGCAGTGCAGCTCCGGCAACAACTGCGAGGTTTCCGCAATTCTCCGCCGCTTCGACGGATGACGTTCGGCACTTCCTTTAGGCTGCGTGTAGAACCTTCTGCCTTTCCCTTTCTCCGCTGCCATGTTCTCTGGCAAGGCAGAAGTTTGAAAAGCAGTGGCATTCGCTGCCACCCCCTCTCAAGGACCGCACAGCAGAGATTGCAGGGGTTCAGAACTACGCCTAACTACGGCTCTCTGCCTTCTGTTTGCAGAATCACCGCGTATCTTGCAACCAGGAGGGTGCGTACAAGACAGTGGATGCTTTTCTGAAGCATACCGGCAGTGAGAAGTCGAACACGCGAGTTCTTTTCAGAAAGCATGCCAAAGGCACGTGGGGTTGCACTGATATGCACGGATCCACGGCAGTGTCTTGATTTCCTATTGCAGGAAAGGATATGGATGGAGAGCATGTCCTTGATCTTGCGGGTGCGAAGGCCCTGGTGTCCGAGCACGCTACTTAGAGCATCGGCATGGAGTGCACGTCCCATCAGATGGCACGGATTGCACAAGCCTGAGTTTGTCCAACGCGCTCAACATCCATCAGAACTTTTTCTATGACCTAGAGACGCAGTTTTACCAGCTGGGCCCTCAGCATGCATCCTGTCCGATGACCGGCTAGCCGGCTAGCGGGAGTGTAAGGTTCGACTTCAATGGCGATGCACGCTTGAACCAAGAGGAAACCATCTGCATGGTGCGCAGTGGCTGAGCCAAACATGGAACTGGCCTCGCGGTGCCTGGAATGGGAATCGTGGCTTGGCCCGAGGCATTCTCAAGCAGAGGCGGGCGACCGCCGGTGGCAAACCCGAGGCCAGTTCGCAAAGACCAAAGAGCGAGTGCAAGAGAACGGGCATAGGAAAGAGAGCTACACTGACAAGAGAATGAAAGGTACAGAAGAAGCAGGTGGGCAGACAGGTGGAGGCGTTTTCAAGCAGGCATCCCTGACAGGATGACGACCGGATGGTCCCTTACAAGACGCCGAGAGAAGCAGGTTACTACGCCGTCCTCCCGGTCAAGCAGGGAGTTGGGACGTTCCTCTTGCGGTTCGCTGCTTTTCCACCTGAGGTGACCCGCGAACTCGGCCGCGGAGGTGGGATTCGAAGCATCGGCTTTGCAGGCACGTCCGGTTCCGTGCAGGTCAAGGGGTCATGTACCTGGCGACCAAGTCGGCTCCCCAGAGGGAGGTACCAGCGTGAAGGTGCCCTTTCTGGTCACTGGCCCTGAGGAGCTCGAGTCGAGGTTTCTTCACCTGCAGGGACGGCTACTGGGATTGCCATGCTGAGCCTGCGACGCCGCTCTTCTTCCTTTTCCCACGTTAGATTTCTGACTGCTTAGGAGACGACAAGGAGTACTGCATCAAGTTCTACTCGAAGAAGGCCACGAGCTTGGCAAGCTTTGTATTTCACCTTGTCGAGTAGTGTATCGGACATCCAAGCAGGACGGCAATGCTGGTCAGGAGCTTGTGCAAAAGATGTGGAGCCCTCCCGCATGCGGTGGCGAGCTGATGCCAAGGAAGCATTCATGAGTTGGTGGACGAGTTTTCACGAATGAACCTGTTCAGAAGTGAGCTCCGGTCTCAACGCCCTAGTGGCTCCTGGGCAAGTAGACATGGACCTGACATGGAAGTTGCACCAGGTTCGTCGCCAAGACCTACGAGACCTTCCAGGATTTGGACTTCTACTACCTGGTCCCTGGTCTTCATGATACCCTCCCACTGGAGTCGAATTCCGAATTCCTTGTCGCAGCTCCCAGGTCAATGAGCCATACTTCGGTGGTGATTGGACGAAGCTTGCCCACAAGGCCATGCATGATGCCTTTCGTCTTCTTCAGCGTAGTCCTGGTGTGCTGGGCAGTCTCCACTTCGTGTGTTCCACCAGGCCCACGCTCAGGGTATCGATATGTCCGAGCAGTGGTGGCGCGGTCTCTTCCGGCAGTGCGTGAGTGGGCTGGACTACCTGTGCGGGCCCCAGGCTGCAGGTGCCAGGGTAAAGTTCATGGAGAGACACTTCTTATCTAGGAGTCGGCATCTCTGCGCTGTAGGCATAGGTGTGCCCAGATGCACTGCGACATTAAGGCGTGCAGCTCAGTGAAGTCTGCCCACTCAGCGCCATTCGCGACATGCAAGAACCAGCACTCGTTTAGACAGCAGGAGCCGAACCTGATGATAAAGTCCGCCGCTGATTATTCAAGTCGCAAGCCAAGCTTTTCCAGACCAGGAGAAGCAGGAGCAATACATGTACAGTCTGGTGAGAGCCTAGTGACCAAAGAACCTCCTTTACCCAAGAACTCTGCAGTAGAGTTTCGGAACAAAGGTTCATCTGCTGCGAGTAGGCGGAAGCCGGCCAGGTAGTCTTCGTCTGCTCCGTTCCAGTTATCCTTGGGGCTCCCCTTCCTCGCTGAAGCAGGTCGGTAAACAAGACCGTAGTGAGCTCGATAGCCCCATGCGCAGTTGCAAAGCCGTCATTGTCAGCCGGCAGGTTTCCACAAGAGTGTCGGCCCTTCATCAATGTAGTGATGTAGTGCATTTGGTCAAGCCTCGCAGGTGTTTTGAGTGCAGGGTCCACCATTAGGGCTCAACGCTAGACTGTGATTGTGATGTAAACACTGCCGTCTGGATACGATGATCGACTTTCCCGTTGCGGGGGAGACGTTGCATCTCGGGTGCGAGCTGCATGCTTTATTGCCGGATGTCGTTGAACGTTTGGCTCGTCCTCCTCGTCGCACTCTAAGTAATTAGCATCCCCGCAGGCATGGACAGGGTACTAGCCCCAGGCCAATCCCTCTATATCCTTCTTGCAACGAAAGTTAGCTCTCATCGCTTGATCTACTGATCTACATTGTCGCCGTGTTGATGACCATGCGGATCTTGGGCATGAGAGTGTCACAGAAGCCGCTGGTGGGACGGCACTCTGCCGGGAAAGGGACTGAAGCCAGCCTTGGGTTTGCGGTGCAGCACGCAGATGGATTTGATCGTTTTTGAAGCGCCTTGTAGTTGTGAAACTGACACGTGACTAAATCACACGTGGGGCCGTCCCTCGGGCGGTGGATGGTGACCAAAGACTTCGTTGCGATGGGGTGCGTAAGTTCGGACCTGTGTAAGACGCGTGGGCCGCATCAGCCCGAGGCCCGAAGGTGGTGTACATCGATTTCGGCTTGTCCCAGGCTTTTGCCAAGAAGCTCCAAAACATTTGCGGCACGCTGGTCGCCTGGTGTAGTGTGCTGATTTGACGCAGCATCAGAAGTATTTTTTCCTGTTATTTGCGAGCCTAATAAGGCCTGGTTACATTCCGCCGGAGACGTGGAAGGAGTACGTGCGCCCTGCGCGCTTGACCCTTCACCGACGCGAGTGTGGACAGTATCTGGCACTATTGGTCACTATTTGGGCATTCGCCAGGTCTGGTATCCTCAAGGGGACATTTTTAGCCTTGGAGTTCCTTGACAGAACTTGTGGTTCATGAAGGCTCTGGCCCTTGGCAGCTGAAGTTGACCGAGGTGGTCTTCTTCCAGATGCTCTCCGGGCGTGTTCCTTCGTCCGATGGCAACCATAAAGGGATTTTTCAAGAGGGCGCTGAACCTTGGTCAAGATAACATGTGGTCAGTCGGCGCGCGCACACACGCTCATGCACGGTGCACCTAGTGAACCTGGTACCAATACATTGAGGACTTGAAAGCAGTCGCCAAGCTCACCATCGATTCTCCGCCTCCATGGGCAGAGTTTCCACAGCAGTGGCGTATCCTGGCTCACGGTTGTGCCAGGTTGCACTGGTGCTTCGGTTGCATTGCCACTGAAGCCCGTCCTTCATCTATCTCTGAGGACAGCTGGGTGGCATTGTCGCGGCGATGCTTCAGAAACAGCAATTAGCTCAATATGCATGCTTCAGCGAGTATGTGCTTCTCTCTTGAACAGCCGGTTTTGGGTGTGACTCCCCAGTCGTTTGATATCGAGTTGGCCATCGCACAGGCGAGCTCTGCGCCCGCGACCTGCTGCATTGCTTGTGGAGCCACGCTGCCCACTGCAGTCACCGCGACACGCACATGGCTTTTGCATTGTAGTATTGTGGCAATCTACCATGAACAGGACCCATGGTTCCAGTCGGACACAGATGCCCCGCTGCCCAAAGAAAACCTCGCCCGCTTAGTGCCCGGGGCTGCATGCACCAGAGGAGAATGTGGCGGTCTCACCCGGCTGGTGTTTTTTTGTTTCTGTGGCATTGTTGATTTGCTCCTTGGGGCCAGAAGCAGAACTACGGCTTGCATCTCGAGCTACAACGTGCGACGCAATTTGAGCTGAGGTAGGCAAATCCAGGGAAGCTGTGTGCAGGCCGGTAGCCGTGACTACTCTTGGATCTTCGAGTCAGAATTGAGACCCTTATAAATGAGGGACGACCTCATCAACGAACTCTGCGAGCAGTGCAACCTCTGCGATCTGCACCACGTCCTGAGTCATTTGATGGTGCTTTGCGGCACGGCTGACTTGCAACTTGCAACTAAGGAGGGCGCTCCGAGCCAGATTAGATGAGGTCGCCAGCTTTGGCAGCGGACTTCGAGCCACTGGGTGCTGTTACAAGTCCAGCGTGTGACGCCCGCTAGTCAGGAGGAACCGAAGGAATACTGCTTGGGGTTGGGCCCGATCAACATACTGGGACACTCCAGGATGCGGAGTAAAGGGTCTCTAACGGATGCTTCTTGGGTTGCGGTTGCTGTCGGATTTCAGTGTTTCGTGGCGTGTCCACATACTTCCGCCGTTTTTGGCAAGCTGGCATCGTGCCGTGCATCCCAGGGTGCGAGCTCAGCTGTACCGGCAGCCAAGACTCTCGGATTTGAACTGGGCTGTGCTTCGCTGTCCGGAGTCTTCTAGAAGCCAGAAATTGTCCCGGAGAAGGTTTGCAGAAGTGGTACGTGGATACGGCATCAGTGCGGAAGTGTTGGACGAGTACATGTCTTGCGTGCAGGCTCCGGGCCGTTTGAGTTCAATTCCTTTGAATGTCGCTTTTGTGGCCTTGGCTCCAGGGGCCGCTTGTCGTGTACAACAACCTTCTGCAAGAAGTTGTCAAGGCTAAAGCTGCAATACCAAAGCTGCAACACATTTCTTTGCAGCTGCAATTGCAGCTGCCAGCCGACATTAGGCTCTTGTGTTTCGCATGTTCTCTGTGCTTCGTGCTGCCGCCAGGAGAAGGAAAAGCGCAGCATGCAGCCTTTTGTTCGCAACACATCGGTATCTAAGAATCTAGAGATGCTGCTCATGCCATTTGTTGCTTCATCCGGCCACAGTCTACCCGGCAAATTAACTCTGAATGTTCAGGCTGGTCTCGGAGTTATTCAACGAGCTGCTTGGCCACAGTTTGATGACCATCGTAGCCCGCAGCGTGATCTAACCTAGTTGAATGCAGCTTTCGTCCAGGATGGACTTTGATGGCAACGGATACCTTTCTGAAAGCGAGATTCGCGCTTTACTACAAAGCGACGCTTTCGAATGCAGTTACGAAGATGTGGACGAAGCGACTGACTTAGTTTACGACATTTGGGGGAAGCAGGTGTCTCAGTCGTGAGTGGAAGCGACTTTGGCTGTAGGTCTTGGACAACATGGATTTCAACCACGATGGCTATGTGGACATTGAAGAAATGAAGCGTCGAAGCCCTGGATAGTTCACATCTGTTTTCACTAGCGAGTTGCCTGTTCCTGTCCCCCAGTTTCGGTTTGAGGTGCGATCATGGAGGATGGCCGGATTGCACGGAAGGACGAGGCCGATGAGGCACCACCATCAGCAGGGCAAGTCGCAACCATACGGAGCTGTTCGTAGCTGTTCAAAGCTTTTCCTGCTCTTTGGAGGGCGCAAAGCCGTTCTGGAATTGGTTTGGCTGCCAAGCTGAAACTAAACGGTGAATCCGCATGCTATGTACACCTTTGCGATTGGTATAGGAACCCTCTGTCCAGCATCGTGCGAAGCGAAGCCTTCGAAGCCTTGGAAGTGATCTTGAATTGTGCAGCCCAGGATTGTTCTGAAGGCATCATTTCTGGAGAGCTGATGGGGGTAGTCTTTTGACATGCTACATGCCAGGCCGCCTAAAGCCAGGCGGCTTTGTGCCCATGTAAAACATATCGGTTTTTTATTGCTACTCGGACTTGCTGGTCCCGTTGGCAGCAACGGCCAAGACTTGCTGTCAATTGTTTGCAGCTTGCGTTCCCTGCGCGGGACTGACGAAATCAAAAAGCTCTGAGGCAGAGTATATACGGCTCTGAACGCAGAAGCCGTCGCAACCATGAGCAACTGCCAGACACCGTAATTATTGCGCCAGCCTCGCACTGTCGCAACGAGGCCTGCACCTTGCTGTTTGGAAAGAATGTCCTGATCATCCATCCACTGCAACCCAGGAGTCTGACAAACAGAACCTCCAATGCTGCCTTCTCCTATGGGATCTGTTTGCCTTGTGAAAGCCGGAGGAAGCCCTTCGCACGCATCCTGGACCGCGCGAAGCTGCTGCGTCTGCCTTGGCGAGGGGTCTGCGGACGACCCAACCAGACCGTGCCATTCATGTCAGCGGCCGCAAGGCTTCCCATTGTGTCGGATGCAGTGTATCGCGTCCTCACTGGAGCTGAAGCTGGACATGCTGTGACCGTGGGCTGCTGGTGCAGGAGAGAGACCTTTTCGGTACTTTTCAGTCATCTTGACATATTGACAGTTGGTTCCACGTTCATGCATGTTTTGTCGTTCTGCAGGAACGGTCGTCTCAAGCGAGTCAGTGCAGAGCCCAGTTCTGCCCTCAGTTTTTGGCAAGTCAGGCGCAGCAGCTGCAGCTTGGGAAGATTGCTCTGTGCTTCGTTCCGGGTACGCTCTCTGACTATACTGACTGCCACTCGTCTCCAACTGCCGCTGCATTATCCCAAGCCGCGAGCGCAAAGCGTGTGTAAGACCTGGCTAGATTCCGCCTGGCAGACGAAATGGCGGAGGCGGACAAGGATCGACGCTCCCGCATGGCCGTATCTACAGTTAATGCTCCCCCGAAGAAAGGCGGAGCTGGCGGATCCTTCACTTGGGGATCGGAGAAGGATGGCACCATGGACTTTGATGCCAGTCGGCTACAGCAACCAGTGAAGGTGATCACCGCAGCAGCTCCTGTTCAAGTACAGGCTGCGGCAGCCCCGTTCACAGCGAACTTGGCGAGCTCGCAGCAATTTCCCTCGTTGGGAAGTCGGCCGGTTCAGGCTCCTGCTGCGGCCTGGGGCCGACCACTCTACCAAACCACGGCGGCGCCCGCAGTGATCCCTGCCGCCAGTGCGACTTCAGTGGCCCCCGTGGTCCAAGCAGCTGCTGCCCCGCAGCCCGTGACAACCACTCGAGTCATCACGGGCATGGCGCCGGCAGCATACACAGCGCAGGCAGCTCCGGCCGCCGCCTATGCCGCCCCTGTTTCCTATCCCTACCCTGCAGTCCCAGCCGGAACCCCAGTGGTGCGGACCATCGTGAAGGAAGTCCCGGAGAAAGATCGACGTTCCCGGATGGCCATCTCGACCGTTCACCAGGCGCCCAAGAAGGGAGGTGCAGGAGGATCCTATGTCTGGGGTACTGCCGGCGATGTTCAGGACTATGATCCGGCCCCGGTGACGGAGTCAAAGGTAAGCATTGCCCCTGCCCAAAGCATCACCCAAGCGGGCCCCGTCAGCCCCTTCACAGCAAACGTGGCAAGCTCCCAGCAGTTCCCAGCTCTGAGCTCCAACACGCCATCGGCATCTCCGACCATTTGGCACACCCAGCCAGCCGCCATTAAAGAAGCGCCGCCAGCACCGGCTCCGGCCGTTCCAGCAGCATCTTCCCCTGGGTTGGTTCCTTCGCCAGCGCCCGCAGCGACCGGACCCCCCGCAGCAACGGGCTCCCCCGTTTTGGCGCCAGCTCCGGTGCCGACTCCGGGTCCGGTCACGTCGCTTGAAGCTCCAGAGGAGGCCGAGACAAAGGCCAAGGAGGGGAAGGAGGGCTCCAATTGCTCCATCCAGTGAGCCACTTCTGACAGCAAAGGAATTTTGTTTCAACTCGATGGACGACATATTTTGACAGGATGTTGCGACCCCGTGCGATAATGAATCGTGCATGCTTTGCAGTGCTGCATGCTACAGCTGATCATGCAAGTCATGCTTGCGGTTGGCTTCTCACAGGCACCAGTGCAGACACTTGGCTCGAAGCGATGCCGCGCCAAGTGTGCCTCACTCCAGGCGGACGTGCCGGTCGCGGGCTCAGCTGGCTTCGCTTCTCGAGAAACGGTGTAGGCGAGGACGGATATAGGGAGAGAGTTGAAGTCGCAGGGCGCAAGATGCACGCCGCACTGGTGGCGGCCACTTTGGCCATGTGCCTTTGGCAAGGCATCTTCCAGCTCGGCCATGTGTAGAGGGCCAGAATGTGCCTTGGCAGGTTCCGCAGACTTGTCGTCCTGCTCTGCCGGAGGCTGGTGTGCCGAGTTCCCCGTTGAAGCTCTTAAACTCAGGGATGGGGTTCCGGGTCAAGTCTTCTCTTCGTTCGGCAGGCCAACAGATTGTAATCCCGGAGAAGTCGGCGTTTGAGTCGAGCCTCGGCGTGTGCACCAGCTCCAGTGACTCCAGTATCTGTCTTTGCAGCAGCACCTGAAGCTTATTCGCGGTACAGTCAGGATGGCCTCTGTGCTGTCCGCGCTGGTGAACCTCTGCACCATCGTGCGCCTCCTATGCTTTGCGCCATCTGCTTGCTGCTTGCAATCGCGCATCCTTGATACTTTCCTTTCATGCCCCGAATGTAAAGGGGGTGATGGTGTACCTTGTCGGCAAGCTTTCGTCCATGAATTTTCAGGCGCATGTGGCAAGTGACAGGATGTCACACGATGCAGTCGAGTCTGTGCTCGTTTCAGCACACACGGATGTGCAGGCTGGGCCTGAAGCCACTTTGAGCGGCTTGGGCACGGAAGTCGTACACAGTGTCACAGGGCCATGCGCTGTATGTGGAGCTGAGGAGAACAAGTGGAAATGGCCCGGCAAGTTTCCCACCCGGCCAAGGAGTTAGGACCCAACGCCTACGAGGTCAGCACTGCGGATGGCGCCACGTCGAAGCTGGGCCGCACATGGTCGCAAAAATGTACAATCTAAGAAGAGTGCAGAGTTCTACGCACACACACACACACCCACCACACAAAACTCCGTCAGGACCGTGCTTCAGCCGAAGAGGGGTTCGGTCGTTATTGTCAAAGACTCGCCCGACGCGGTGAAGGCCATGAAGAACGTTTTCATGCGGTTATGCACGACGACGAACGAGATGATCTCGGCAGCTTGGCCCACGAAGAGCTAGAGAACGACTGTCGCGAGAGCGTTTCGAATTTAGAGCTGTGCAGTGAGGCGGGCGCAGAACGTCATCTCATCCCGAACACCTCATCCATTCATCCATGCATCCATCCATACATCCATCCATGCATCCAGACATCCAGACATCCATGCATGAATGAATCCATCCACCGATCAATCCGTCCATCCATCCGTCCGTCCGTCTGTCCGTCCGTCCGTCGGTCCGTCCATCCACCCGTCCGTCTCCGTTTTGTGCATGCATGCATCCATTCGTTCACTCGTTCATTCGTTCGTTCATTGCTTGCTTGCTTGATTGATTGGTTTGATTTATTGATTGATTCATTCTTTGTTTTATTGATTGATTCATCCATTCATCCATTCACCCATTCAGCCATTCATCCATTCATCCATTTATCCATTTATCCATTCAGCCGTTCATCCATTCATTCATCCATTCATCCATTCATCCATCCATCCATCCATCCATCCATCCATCCATCCACCCATCCACCCATCCACCCATCCACCCATCCACCCATCCACCCATCCACCCATCCACCCATCCACTCACTCATTCATTGATTCTTTCAATCATCCACATGCGTGTCCATCCATCCATCCACTCATTCAGTCCTTCACTCGTTCATTCATTCACTGACTCATTCATTCATTAATTCCTTTCTTTTTTCATTCGTTCAATCATGCGCACACGTGTCCACGCATCCATCCATCCATCCATCCATCCATCCATCCATCCATCCACTCATTCAGTCATTCACTCGTTCATTCATTCACTGACTCATTCATTCATTCATTCAATCATTCATTCAATCAACTCCTGCATTTCCAGCTCGATCTCCTCTGCCTCGTACTGGTCCAAGCTGTGAGAGTCGATACCTTTATATAAGCCCTTCCATACATCCGTCTACGAGCCCTCGACCAAAAGGCTTTCCCGGCTTTCCCTAAGTGTGCCATGTACTGGTGGGATTCGGAGACTTAACCACAATGTCCCCCCCCTCATATTCCCCCACGTGCTTCCTGTTTCCTCCCACGTACCGAGACAGGAGCACGGCCAACATGCGTACCACGCGTACTGGCGGGTGCAGCGGGACTTACCCACCGCAGGTTTCCCACGTGCTTTTTGGTGAGATGATTCAGGAGCACGGCCAAAGTTCTTCCCCCATGTACGGGCAGGACTCGGGGAAGGCATGTCGAGGCTAATATCAATGCAGCACCAGACACGCAGCAGCCTCGAGCGGGTTATGGTTTCGGAACAAAAATGACGCCAATGTCGTTGAATTTACAATGGTTCGCACCTACCACTGAGAAGTTAGCAAGTTCGAGACCAACGTGACGCTAATGCATCGGGGTTTGCTACCTACCGCAGCTACCGAAGGCAAGGCCACTGTATTGGAGTTTGTAATGTATTGCGCTTGCTCAAGGACGCGGACATGCCGGCAGCACTGAGAGAGGGGGTTGTCAGTGACTTCAGTGGGGCCAATGTGGTAGAATTTGCAATGGGTTGCTGATCATTTTCGAACACGGATCGTCGCGGCACCCCACACGCACGCACACACAGCGACATTTCGCGTGCGAAGATTACTGCCGCGAGAAAATGGTTGCCGAATCGTCACAGCACAACACGGGCAGCGCCAATTTTGTGATGCGCTTGCAATTAAATACGCTTTTCAAGAGATAAGAGGCCACTTTGCCAAAACCCTAAATCCAACCTCTCCCCAAGATCTCACATCCTCACATCATGCCATGCAACCTCACCACATCATGCCATCCAAACCAACCCCACGCAAACACCCTTTGCCACGCTTCAACTGGAGTGAGTGGAGCCGCTTCTGAGGTCAACGATGTTATGAAGGTGCACAACTTGCTGGGCGAGCCAATGGATGACGAGGACGAAAAGAAGATGATGACCTTCTTTGACACACAGTCCAAGACGACCCATGATCCAGCAAAGGGGGTTGAACCATTCATGTGATTGATCCCACGTGTTTGTTAGCAAGCAAAGGTGCATGTAGTTTATATGTGCATCTCGTAGCCGTTAGCCCGCAGAAGCAGTCACAAGCGATTTGCTTTCCGATCCACAGGGGCTTGGAGTGAGTCTGATCTCAGAGAAAACAACCGCGACCTGGCGCTGGCACAGCTGCTGCGGACTGCGATGGGAGAATGCGATATCCCGAATACACACTGTCTGGCACGATGTCGCCCTTTGAACTTCTGCACAACCTACCAAGCAAACCAGCAGAAGTCGTGTCAATGTCATGACCCACATGACAGCCAGTGTTTCGGGGAGAGTTGCACCAGAGCCGGGCAACCACAGCACCGAAAGGCGTTGACAGTTAAGGGGACTGAAAACAGGCGAAGCAACCATACTACCATTGTGGGGGTGGACGAGGTCGCATAGTAGCACCTGGTGGATCTGGCAGCATTTCCAGACCCGCGTGGTGATGTCCGGACAGGTTCTGGTAGGCATTCCCAGTGAGTGCAGCCAAGGAAGGTGTGCATTAGCTTCGACTCCTTCATGGCATGGTGGAATGAGCTACATGACGTCGGCGCGGATCCGGACAAGCATCACGCATGCCTGGTGATTTTTGCTTCATGTGCAAGCGTTGCAACTCGAAGTGTAATTGCATCGGAAGAGTCAGGGCTGTGTTGGAGATGTCAGGTACTACTCACAGGAGCGTTATCGACAGCGCTTCAAGGTGCTCCAGTCACGCCTGAAAGAGCCCACAATCGCTTCCATCAACTCTGTCACGGAGGGGGAGGTCGGCTCTCGACGATTCCGCGTTTGGTTCGAAAGTGATGGGACGCGCTTGTCCCCGTGGCATGACATCCCTCTCCGAAACCCAGACGGCTCGTACAATTTCGTTTGCGAAATCCCGAAGTGGACGAGAAAGAAGTACGAGATCGCCACCGGAGAAACCATGAATCCCATCAAGCAGGATGTGAAGAATGGTGTCCTTCGAGAATACAAGTGGGGCGACATGCTCTTCAATTACGGGGCCTTCCCGCAGACCTGGGAAGATCCGAAGCACGTTAGTGAGGAGACTGGATTCCCAGGCGACAACGCTCTGCCCTTAGCCTGCGAGCTCTGCAATAGACTTTCTACTAGCCGTAGAGTCGCCGAGGATCCTATTGATGTGATTGAGCTTGGCACTCGGCAACGACCTGTCGGTTCAATCACTCGTGTGAAGAGCCACGGCCTGGAAGCCCCTTTTTTTGGTCTTTGGTCTCTTGTACTCTTATAGATCCCAGAGAGATTTTGGAGCCAGCTGCACCCATGAGGATCCTCGGTGTCATCGCAATGATTGATGATAACGAGACGGACTGGAAGGTGCTTACAATTGCGATGGACGATGACAGGTCGCAGTTTCTCGGCAGTTTTTTTTTGTAATGTTTTGCGTTGATTCCGTGCGTTCCGTGTGCACGAGACGCTTTGAGTAGCGAGGAACGTGAATGACCTGAACGACATCGACGCGCACATGCCCGGCTGCACGCAGGCCCTCACCGACTGGCTCCGAATGCACCTCAAAGGCCCTAGCAGGCATTAAGAGAGCTGCCCTAATGTTCACTTCATAATCATAACCCCCGCCCCCCCGCCCCCTGTCGAGTGATTTCAATCCCGCAGGGGGAATTGATGATTGAGGTGTAATTAGGGTCTGTTTGGGTCTCCTGGGCTGCCGTGATGCCTAGAGTCGCCAAGGTACAAGACGGCAGAGGGCAAAAAGGAGAACAAGTTCGGCTGCGGCGGCAAGCCACAGGGTGCAGCGTTCGCACGGCAAGTTGTGGAAGCTTGGCTTGGCTATTTGTGCATGTAGGGTTTCTTCAATTCCGCAATTCTGCTGGGCATGCCTGTGCGCGGCGAGGATGAGTGCCACGGCGCATGGCGAAAGCTGCTAGCTGCTGCAGATGAGAAAGGTAAAGTCAAGAAGATTGCCAGCGGCAACAATCTGTATACCGAACTTGCACTTGGCTCTGACGACGACTAGACTAGACGAGTGCTCGGCTATGCATTCTTGTTTCTGGGGCTAGACTGCCCCACCAACTGCTTACTGCACATCTGAGTCAGGAAAGTTCCGGATTTTCCTAGCGTTCTGCTTGGACTTTCCTGGCAGTTTTCCGAGAGTTCTGCGATCTGTGGGCGTGAGAGCACAGGAAAAGGTGAGCCGCTACGAGATGTTGTTTTTCGGGCCCGCTTCCTCTTTGGATGGACTCCAGTAGTGGATGCTTGAAACGCAGTCAAGGTCAAATGTTGAAGCTATTCTACGGCCCGGGTGCCGGAATGCTGCCACGCCCAGGCGTGCTCGTCAGACGTGTGGCATCTTGTTATCCGGTTTTGCGGGATTCCTGAAATGAGGTGACTGGTTCTGTGGCCATTGCCGAGCTAGAAACTGCAGAGATCGATGGTTTTGCGGCTCGGCTTTGGCCGGCACACCTTGCAGTGCCATGAAGCGAGCTTGTTGTTCCTCTCTTCTGGTTCGGAAGTGGTGAGGTTGGCGGTGTGCACCTGCTGGCTCGGTGGGAAGTCCCATGACGACTCCCGGCACGCTGCGGGTGGGGAGCTGTGTTGTGGTGTCCCAGTTTGGCGGTTGGTCCCAACTTATTGCATGCAACTGTGCGCTTTGCACGTCCAAGGTTCTGGACAGTTTCTCTTATCCGTCCAAGTGGGACTGGGGCTGCACGCGCTGTGCAGCCGTAGCTTGGTGCAGGCTTACGTGGTGCACTCGTTGTGGGCACTTGCCGCCACTCCACCGAGGCACTTTGTGGCTACGAGCCCATGCCTCGGTCTTCATCGAGGTATACCGGTATGCGATAGAGATGACCGTGGCAGGCATAAGTGCTCGTATTGTGGCGCCGACCGACCTTGTCCGAACTTCCCAAAGTGAATAGCCCTTCCAACATTCTTTGCGAAGACTGGTGGACTTGATGTTCCCCGAAAGCAGTGGGAGCATCTGGCAATAAAAAGATTTGTGCTCCTGGGTGCTCTCTGCTCTCTGTGGGTAGGTGCCGGATCCGTATGCATGCCTGCCAGAAGCAGTCGCCATTTGGGGCCATTTTCATTTGTTCACTGTGGCAGCATTGGCGTAAACTTTTTTAGCCTCGGCTTCTTTGCCGAGGACTGGTCATGCAAGAAGCCCTTTGTGAAGCGAAGCTCGTAGCAGATTCGCCAGGACCCTCCTTGGAGCATGGGCAACTGTTGCTCCGGAGGGGAATACCAAGCTCGGAAGGCCTTTGAAGCTTCGTACAAGTCTTGCTTTCTGCAAAACAAGGAAGGGGATATGGGTAAGATAAGGGGTTGCATAAGCAGAGGACAGAGTGTTTCTGTTGCACTGGAGTCACGTGTCCTTGGCACTGGGAGGCTGATGCAGATCTGCTAGCTTTCCCAGGGATTGCCGATGGCAGTGTGCCCCATGGCCGGTACATGGTGTCTGTCCTGCCTCTGACATGACCTTGCGTGCTGCGTGCTCAGGACAATATCCAAGGACTCTGCAGAGGCGATGAGCGCCATGAAGGCTGTTTTTCATCGTCTCTGTACTTCCCCTTCGGACGAACTGATCTCCGCATCTCGATCTGCAATTGGAAGACCGAGGTAGTAGTCATTCCCCAATGCTGGCCACCGAGGCCAATGATGTCGCAAAAATGCACAACCTACTGGGCGAGCCTTTAGATGAGGATGAGACAGTGCGGATGATGTCTTTCTTTATGGCATCATCGCCGTCGACACACCGCAGAATTAGTTTGTCGTTGGCGCAGGTTGCGACGTGGAGGGTTGGAGGAAGGAGGCAATGGGAGACACGTGTAGTATGGTCCCCCCATCTTAGAGTGACTGGAGCCACGAGTCGACTGGAAGGTTTTTTTCTGTGAGAATCTTGCGAGAAATCTGTGGGGGATTTTTGCCTTGTTTCCCAACAAAAAAGCGTCAGAAACCTGTGAACAAGTGGGGTCCGTGTCGGCCCACCCCTAGCAGCTCTCTCAACAGCTCTTCCTGAGTTGCCGGATTGTATTTTGACGGCTCTCTGGTAAAAGCTTTTTTTTTATGATTCCCAATGGTTCCACGTCCTCGATCAAAACGTCGGAAACGAGTTACAGGTATGCGAGTTCTTCTCAATCCTGTAACCATCCTCGTGTGTGTACATTGAATCATGAGGGGCACGCCATCAACAAGATCGACCCCAAGCAAAACCTCATACTTACTTGCGGCCTTCAAGTGGTGACAGACCGAGAGGCGTGCCTCCACTCGGCGAGCGTGGCTCCTCCTAGCGAGAGGTAAGAGACGATAGTCGGCACTAGAACTTGGCCATCCATTGAGTGCAGCAGCAGAAACAGACAAGCCTCACTGCTGGGGAAGGGTGTGCTCCACCCTTCAATTGCAGTGCGTGCAGGCGGAGGGACTGCAGGCCCTCAGCAGAAGAAGAATGCAAAGACTCGAATCCAGATCGTTTCGCTTTTCTAGGCTTTTCCAGCAGATGGGTTTCTTGAGCAGGCTGAGTTCTGCCACTAAGGGAGAAAGTTGTCGCCTTCGACAAGTTCATGTTTTGGTGGAACGAATTGCATGACAGCAGTGCAGACTCTAACCAGCGGCACGGCAGAAACCAGAGCACCACCACCGCCCCTTTGTGATGCATTTCTGTGGCCCCACTACATTGTCGCTACATCAACTCGGTGGTGTCCTCCGAGACTACAAGTGGGGCGACATGCTCTTCAATTACAGGGCCTTCCCGCAGACCTGGGAAGATCCAAAGCACATTAGCACGGATACAGGCTGTCCAGGTGACAACGTGCCTGAGATGCAAGCCATGTGGCTTTGGTAGTTGTCACATCCTGCAGGAATAGCGACAGCACTTATTCAGGCACCGACACTAGGGCTGAATAAAGCCGAAAAGTGTAAGCCTAGAGCACATCCAGACACACACACACACAGGCACACGCGCGCACACACACACACACACGCACACACACACACACACGCACACACACACACGCGCAGGAACACAGGCACACACATACGCACACACAGACACACGCATGCAAAAACACAGACACACAGAGAGACACACACACACACGCACACACACCCAAACACAGACACACATACACACAGAGACGCACGGACTCACAGACGGACAGACAGACAGGCAGAGACAGAGACAGAGACAGAGACAGAGGCAGAGGCAGAGGCAGAGGCAGAGGCAGAGGCAGAGGCAGAGGCAGAGGCAGAGGCAGAGGCAGAGGCAGAGGCAGAGGCAGAGACAGAGACAGAGACAGAGACAGAGACACAGACACAGACACAGAGACAGAGACAGATAGATAGACAAAGAAAGAGACAAAAGCAGCTGGACTCATACCCAGGGGAAGAAAGGTAGGACA